AAACAGTATTACAACCCGTCTTATCGAATATACAAGCTGAAGGGACAACTTCGTGTAATCAAAATCGTCCTAATCCTATATATAATCAACAAATTCGAATTTTCTGAATACCGATGAAACATAAAGCTCACAAGGTGACAGCTGCATGAAGAAATGAATATCGATCGCATTCAGGTCTTTAACAGTAAAAATAAATAACAAAAAATGAAAAAGAACGTAGATAATCTCTTGACAAATTAAATACTTAATAACCAACGCATTCAAAATTTATGTTGTATGTAGCTATGAATATTCACGGCGCGGTTTGAACCGGGAACAAAAACCGCAGAAACTATAAACAATGGTCTGTACCATTACAATAGAGAATACCGTGCTAAAATTATACATTTCGCCGCTCGATTCGTGCTCAAGTCTTTTAAACTGGCCGGTATTTTGAAAGAGTGGATGTTTATCTAAATTTTCTTTTTAAAGTGATCGCCTTTTTATTTATTTTCTTTATGTTTTCATATTTTTCCGCTGCTTATTCGTTGGTAGCCTAAGGGGCTATTTCATCTACGCGCGGATGGGTAGGTGAGCTCACGGGCTCAATCTAAGAGAATATTTTAACAATAGCCCTAACAAGAGCAGTGCTTCGCAACTTCGTAGAATCTAACATCGGATCGGAATCCCGACCCACCGAGAATACTCAGCGAGAAACTTATCAGGTTAAAATTTCATTATACTAAAGGTGAATGAGTTACAGAATTTGATTACCATCACTCAGTTTGAGACCCGAAGTCAGAGCATCTGTTGTATAACAGCTGTACAATCCTTTAGATTTAAACGCATACTACCAATTTTTGTCATTGGTTTAGAAATAAATATACTTATGGTATTCAGCGGCTTGGTTATGATAAAAAAACGGAGATCATAGCAAATCGAGACCGAAGATGAACTATATCCAATTTTAGACAGAGCAGCCTTAACGTAGGTTGAATCACAATTTCACTAGAATAATTTCCAATAATATCTGTAAATACAATCTAGTTTTTACGATTGTAAGTAAATCTTGTGGCATATAATAGGATCATAGTAGACGGCGAACGTCCCACTAAACGTAATCTTTACTAATGCGGTTAACGGACTATTCTTTATGTCATCAAGGTTAGGTTTAATTCGATCTTAAATTGTGGCATTCCGTACAAAACTTGCGGATGCGGTTGGTGTACATATATGATATCTTCCTCAGTAATTACGATAGGAAAAACGAAATAGTATGTACATATTTCGGCAAAGAACAAATCTATAAATCCTTATAAAATTATTTTCACTGTTTATTTAAATGATAAGATGTTTATTAACTTGTAGCCGAAGACGACCTCTGTGACATTGTTTTGATTGTTAAACAAGTAAGATGCTGTTTTGAATAATAATAAATATTAGGGTAATAATAATAATCAGGGTTATCGCTGTGACTTTATTATAAAAAGGCAGCACTTCGCCTGATAACTGACGTGGTCTCTGGACCGACCCCTAAACTTCCACATTCAAAAAGAGTCGTTTCCAAATTGAAATTAAACTGTCAGTTTGCCGTATTGTTGTGAGAATTAATGATTGCTTGAGCGCTCATACATATATTGACATTCATTACAATGAATCCGATACTACTGAACTCAGACGCTGACGGCTAACCACCATCTAACCAGCTAACCAGAGCTAACATCTAAACTACTAACCAGACATTTTTTGTATGAAAAAAAAAAATCATTTACCTGCATTATAAAATGTTTAAACAAGTATCGTATAGGTATATGTACTAATGTAATATTAAATTAGGTCATAAGTTCGAAGTGTCGGTTGCTTTCTATTACGAGTATATTACCCAACCTTCAAGATCAGAGCGTTACTATCTTCTTCGCGGCAGGAGTTGGCATGATGGTTCCTTCCCGTTCGGGTATACTACGACCTATAATTAGTTGTTGTTAGTTAATTATTTAGTTGTCTTTGGGTCGGTATTATAAAGTATTTGCAAACACAAATGGACACAAAGAAAGTTTTCATTTAAGACGAACACAAAATATAGAAAGAAGGAGAAAGTAACAAGAAATAGACAGTTCAAGCAACACCAGCGGTACACGAAACAAAAAGCAATAATTTAAAGGCGTAGTAAGAAAAGATAATACGGGATGCGCGCTCGCAAGTCAGATTTCGACTGGTGGCGGTGGATCGGTAAAAATGCGACGACCGGTTCGTCTATGCACCGATGTACTAGCGAAATATTATCGCCGCCGCTATACTCCAGATATCGCCCGACTTTGCTTGTGAATTTAATTTTGTTTAGTGTAAATAATGTTTTGTATGATTGTGAGATAAATGAATGTGTTGATATAAAATAAAGTATGTATGTGTTGTTGTGTAGTGTAATTATAATAAAATATTATAAAATAAATAATGTGAGTCACCCACACGCACATTTATAAATTGAAATTACGATTTTTTTTTTACCTTGTCTTAATCAAATTCTCTATTGACCACATTTTGAATTACCTCTAAAACAAAAGGAAAAACAGTAAACGACCAATAACTATGACTCGGTTCGAGGCAATGTTGTAGATCAAATTTAATCTTACATCGATATGATGTTCAATATTACATGATTCATCAAAAATTTTAATTCGATCCTTCTATGAGATATATCAAATCAAATTTGATTGTGATGCGACAGCTATGAAGATTTTCTGATAAACGTAATGTAAGCGTGCATTTACGCGTAAGCAACAAGTCCTTGGCAACTGTCACTGGACAAGGATGCCAGGTACTAATACGAAACTTGTTGTATTAGCTAGAGTCCTGCTTACACAGGATAAAGCTTCGTAAAAAGCAACAGTCATTATATCATTTCAAGAATAGGGCTTGGTTGAATTGAACAATAATATAATAAGAATAATTGAAGAAGAATATAAAAATTGAAGAATACTCATTTAATGAAAATGTACTTTGTAAGCTATTCAAACAAAATTTTCAATAAATCTCTAATATGACTTTTATCTATATGACTTCTCACATTTTGAAGCTTCCAAGCATAATTTAAGCCGTTTAGTCTCTTGTTAGCAGATTTTGTATCGTTAAAACATTAGACAATAATTGTGTTCTATCACTATGCTTCAAAATTATGATAAAATCATGTTATTATACACCACGTAATGAACTTGCGATCAGAGACTATCAGAAAATTAAAGATGTATTCATTGCAAAGAAAATGAAAACAAAATTGCATTACAAACTACAATTTAAAGTAATTTATAATGCCCGATCTGATATGCCAATGGCCATAAACATTCTTATGTAAGATCTAACAAGTAGATGGTTTACATCCGTTACTTTAATTTCTACACACCTCTAAGATTCAAGCTATCATCCAGCAAAGACCGGTATCGTCATTTCGCTTCATATTATTTATTGCTTGCACCACCCACCAGCTTTTATACGCTACTTTTAACATTTTCTTATGATTTACTATTGGATAATCTATATTTAATGTCATTTCCAGTGTTAGATTTATAATATCTAAGGCTACGTTTGCAATGTGGTTATTTTAGCCTCCGTTAGAATCTCTTTTTGAACCTGTGTCCATCCAATTCTTAGTGTAGGTCTCTTCACATGACTTTCACATCCTGTGCTTACCAGCTATTTTGACTGGGTCATCGGTCCACCTCATTAGTTCTCTGTTCAAGTTACGACGTCCAGTACGAGGTGGACACCACGTCCAATCCTTTTCCAAGACTTTCAATCAATTTAATTAAAGTCCAATACTTTTGTGCCCCACTGATTGTCAGTGCGATGACATGTGTGGCCGGCCCACTTCCAATTTCTCCGAGCAATCGCTTTGGTTATATCAGTCAAGCTAGTTCTTCTGCGGATTTCTGCATTGTGCGTCCTATCCCGTAAAGAAATGTCCAACATAACCGTTCGAATAATAGTTGCTAATTTTACCATTGTTAAGGGCGCTTAAGCAATGGTCCTTCATAAACTTCATGGATTACTTTACCTTTGTATTGGACGCTGTAACTTAGATGAAATAACGTTATCTAGACTAAGACTATCATAAATTCGCTTTAAGTTCAGCTGTTGTGGTGCGAGATCCATGACTTGGGTTTTGTAATAATATTTATTATCTTTACGTTGCGTCCGCGTTCCACAAGGCCGCAATAAGGAGTCTAAGAAAAGCTACAATTGGTACAAAAATGATGGATTGAGGTAATTTATTTTCATGTTCGGTTAGCAATATATCTATTCAAGATTGAGGACAATATTTTTATATTGGGTATCTTACTGAATACATACGTAATTGGATTATTTTTATGGATTCAGTTATACTAAATTGTACTAATATTTTAACTATAGGGAAATAAATAATTATAGAGACACTAAACTTTCTCTATAGTTTTGACTGTGTAAAATTTGTAATTTAGAAATAATGAAACCTGCATTTTCCGTGGATAGAAAACAGTTTATAGGATCAGTCTAGTCTGTGAACTAAAAAGTTGTTTTGTAGACTAGTTGGTACTTAAAATCTTGTATGCCTTTTCTTACTCGGTGAATAAAATCAGTGATAAAAAGTATGTTATGTTTGTTTAGGTTGTGAAGGATCGTAATCTTCCAAATTCGTTAAGCTAGTTTTGCGTGATTCAGTTACATACAAACTTTCATAATTATTTATAAAGTTAATATATGTATATTTCACATAACATAGAAAGGCCATGGCAACTGTGTGCAAACAAAATAAGCTTATGTTCCTCCTTTGTAAATAAAATATATATTTTATAATAATTAATATTACCATTAACATAATCACAGGGATTAAATAAACAAAAACATCATTTCTTTTTAATATATGACGTTCTACAATTTTAAGAGACTCACGGATCATCCATAAGAATGTATAATCGATTCCAGATTAACCTGTAACTCAACCAGTCCTATGAAACTGTTTAATAAATGTTTTTTTCTTTTTGTTACAGTGAGATGCCGCGGTGGAGTGCGCTGATCCGGCATGGACAAACATCGATATGGCTTTTCCTATGCCTGGTTTATCTGGTCATCGCCACTCCCGGTAAGAACAACATAAAGTCTGAATAAAATTAACATTTAGGATATCCTCAAAAAGTACCATCCGATAAAATATCAATACGTAGTAGACATTACAACGTCTATATTATCATTCGTTTGGAGATATCGAAATTACAATTTCGCATCAAGTCTCTTCCACCCCATCAAGCAGAACAGGTGACAGTTTTGCAATAGGAACAGGTAGCACTCACGTGTGCGGGCTTCTCGCATCACTTTGGTATAATGTTCAGCGTGCTTAGTGCAAGTTTTTTAACGTTCTCGATAGCGTAAAAGTTAACTCACATTTGTATGCAGTTGGAACAGCGCCTCCAGCGGCAAACGTAGGAAAACGTTCCAATTGCATACAGATTTGAGTTAACTTTTACGCTATCGAGAACGTTAAAAACTTGGACTAAGCACACAGATAATGATGTTGTTCGTTCCCTCTGGGTCACCTTTTTTTTTTTATTGCTTAGATGGGTGGACGAGCTCATAGCCCACCTGGTGTTAAGTGGTTACTGGAACCCATAGACATCTACAAAGTAAATGCCGCCTCCTATCTTGAGATACAAGTTCTAAGGTCTCAAGTATAGTTACCTTATACGACACTCACGAAGAAGACGGGTTGTGCTACTCTAGGCTGTCATATAACAAAAATATGTTTTAATTATGAGTAAACAATTCTAACAAACCAACGGACTGTAAACAAACAAGCAATCAGAATGAGAAACACAACTTAATCAATGTAACAATGGATTGTTTACGAGTACACAGCAATCGATTTGTTATTTTAATATGAATGAATTCATTGTTTACATTCATTATTGTCACTCGATCGTTAACAAACATTTGTTTACTAGGTTTATTTTTGTTTGTATGCCTCGAAAGATTTTCGTGAATGCTTGATTTGATATGTCGAGTGGTCCAAAATTCACGTCAAACCAGACTGGCGACTAAGTCACGACATTTATCAGAAAAAAAATCGATTGCATTGATACGGTGTCTGACATGGAAAATGAAATTTTAATCTAGTAATATGGTAATTTAAAACCCATTTACTGTCCATTATGTTTATCTGACACTTCTTAGTGATGCTCAAATGAATTTGTGCAACGACTACACGAACCAAAGATCTATCTTTCCATAGGAAAATTTAAAACCAAAATACGGATTTCTATTTCTCTCGAAAGATCGATAGATCGATCTAAAGATAGAGTGACCAACATAATTGCACTAAAACCGAAAAGTTTTTTTTTTATCTTTAGTTAAGGAGATTATTCGCCTAGTGAATATGCCACTCCATTGTGCAACAAAAGAGAGTAACAAAATAATTATATTATAAAAAAAAAAGAGAACTGTAATCGTCTTTGAAGGTCCACCAAAACTATTTTATAAAGTAACTTAGCCATTTCGGATTCCCGAAAATCGAAAAGTTTAGAGACACGAATAAAATATCTCATAATTATCAAGATAAAGATGCAAACCGAACTGTAGGTACCGTGAATCGTTAACGCCCACGTATCTGTTATTTTAGTACCAGTTTCTCCATACAAGGTTTATCTAACAGATTAATGATTATTTCAAACCGTTATCTAGTTAATTGTCAAAGAACTAATGATGGCGGCCATTGAAATGATCTTTAAGTATTGTATAGTAATAGGTATTGGCCGTAAAGTTGTTGGGTTTTTGTTTCGAAAAAGCTCTGTTATGACTACCCGCAAAAATTATAGTTTGCGTAATTACTGGTAGTAGGACCACTTGTGAGTCCGCGCGGGTGGGTATCACCACCCTGCCTATTTCTGCCGTGAAGCAGTAATGCGTTTCGGTTTGAAGGGTGGGGCAGCCGTTGTAACTTACTTGAGACCTTAGAACTTATATCTCAAGGTGGGTGGCGCATTTACGTTGTGGATGTCTATGAGCTCCAGTAACCACTTAACACCAGGTGGGCTGTGAGCTCGTCCACCCATCTAAGCAATAAATAAAAAAAAAACTTCGTTTTCAGAATTGAACAATATCACGCTCTGGTCAGTGCATGTTCAATTAAAACCAAATTTTATCCGTTGTTATGTGTTAACAATATGCGTGAAATATAAAACAGAGAATATCATTTTTTCTCAAGTGTCTCGAGACGAAAATCTATGATCAGTGTATGTTGTTAGTGATGTTAATACGACAGTGAGATGTCTCTAGTTAGACATAAGATGAAGTGTTTCAAGATTACAATGACTCTTATCCATCGAATTGGTGTGCGGATTCGTGGTAGAAATAGTTAGGACGGTGATATCTATGTACATATCTGAGCGGGCTCACAAGCCGTCCATCAGAATTCTACCAGAATCTTACTAATACGGCGTAGTGACGGGGATAGTAGAGAGATATCTGGAAAAGCTCTGATTGTTTTATATGTATTAGTGGTCTACCGGTAGTCGAAATTCGACTATAATTAATTGAAATTATAAATTTGAACATTATTATGGTACTATTTTCAAAGACTATTATATTATACTTCTATAATCACAGATTTCGCCAAGACTACACTATAGACAAATAATATAAACACAAACAATATAAACCCTTATCAATTTGACCATAGACTATAAGCAATGAGAAAAGCTTGACAATAAAAAAATAACATGCATGCTTGTGTGTGTCAAATATACGGTGTGCTATGTTTTTTTATTGATTTAATATATTTTTTAGACATAATTAATAAATATATTATCATTCTGCACTCCTTCTCTATATTCTCTATAAGTGTGGAAAATTTCATAGTCCTCCATCCGCGCAATTTTCGTAAAAACAGATACAATGTTTTTGCTTCACGTATATACTCAGACCTTGCTTGCGTTTTGCTTTTAAACTTACAAGCGTTTGTCCGATGATCGAATTTCGACAATAAACACTAACGCCTCAAGATTTACATTAATTTTGTGCATTACATTATGTGTGTTGGTTATTGACATTTTGAAAAAAAAAAAACAAAAAATTGGTAGCACTAAATTTCGTCAATGCTATTCCAAACTAAAACACACACAAAATCGGCTTACAACAAGAGGAGCTGTTTCATCTTTGCCCTTATAAAAATTATATCTCTAATGCTTTTCTGGATACTATCACTAAGTGCATAATTATCATTATCATTATCGTAAAGATAAAGTTTAGACATTTTAACAGTCCTTAGCTCAGTTTTTCTTCACTTTTATATGTACCAGAAATCTAGAAGACGATACTAAAGAGAGTACACTCAGATCCAGAATGCCAAGTATCTGATAGCAAAACAACTTTATACCTAGTGTCCTTCTTCAGACGAGGCTTGCGTAGAGTAGTTACCGTTAGTCAGTGGCTTGGCCCTGCTCTTGGCTTTGCTGACGTCCATGAATGACGGTACAAACCCACCATCAGGTTTTTTTTGATGGTGAGTGGTTACCGTCGCCTATATACGTCAGCAATTACAGTGCCAGTATCAAGCCGCTGCCTACCGTAGATCGTACGCTCATCGGCTTGCAAAGACAATAAAAGAAAAGCATTTCCTTGGGTTCTTGTGGGACATTGACACAGTTAAAATAATTTTTACGATATTATAATCTCTCGTTTTTGTTTTATCGTTATATTATTATCGACGTTTTCATTACAGTTTTCTTGGTCACGGAATTAATCTATACGAATATTATAAAGAGGAAAGATTTGTTTGTTTGTTTTCATTGAATAGGCTCCGAAACTACTGAACTGATTAGAAAAATTATTTCATTGTTTGGAAGCTACACTATTCCCGAGCGACATAGACTATAATCTTGTTTGAAAAAAATTAGGGATCCTTACTAGAATTCCAATAATGTAACCCAAGGTGTAAAAAAAATATCTAAAATATTATTTACATCGCGTGCCCTGCGAAAACTATTAACGATAGAATAAAATAATGTACTACGACTTTGTAGGACCCATTATTAGATACAAAAAGTGTCGCGACAGCATATGTCTAACTATTATAGTTATGCCGCAATAAGTGTTCTTTTATTTAAAAAAATAAAACAACGTCGTTGAAATTTTTGTTAAAGACCCGAACGGAGCCGGAGCGGGCCGCTAGTATGATAATAAAATGACAATAAACAACGCGAGATTAAACTCTAAAAGTAATTTCAACCATTTATCTTATAGATTATACAATCGACTACGACCGATACCGGATCTCATGCTAAAGTACTAGGGATCAATAACCACTTCACTAACAAAAATGCATACATTTTATAATTTTTAAAAGCTTAGTTGTTACAAATTTAATTGAAAAATGTAAACTATAAAGTAGATGATTTATCACCCTGCCAAAGAAGTTTACGATAAAAGTTTCGTTATAATCTTTTGGTATTCAGCTAAAGCATTAAAACCGCTTAACATAAGCTCAGTTACATAATTTTATAGCGTATTGCGGCTTTGGATTTAATAATTTAAGAGTAGATACTATATACTAAATATTTTAATATGATTAAAATTAAATTATGTATTAAATTACACATTAGGGAACAGTTTGTTTACAGTTGCAGTGAGACTTGTGAGATCGCACGAATAGGTACAACTCTGACTATCTCTGCGGTGAGGTAGTAATGCGTTTTGGTTTGAAGGGTGGAATACGTGAAATACACACACTGGGATAGCACTGATACGTGATCCTTGACTATGGGCCTTATCAGTGTTAGGTAAAGAATGTAATTATATGGCAACACTGCCAGACTGCATACGCCATTAAAACGAGTCACACAGAGCCCATGTCATTTTTATTATAAAGTATAGCTACACGCTACAACCCGGCCATCCTATGACTTCATAATCCGAAGGCTTAAGGTCACCCAAAGAGCAACAGAGAGGGCTATGCTCGGAGTTTCCTTGTGAAATCAAATCAGAAATGAAGAAATTTGCAGGAAAACCATGGTAACCAGCATAGCCCATGGGCTTGCGACGTTGAAGTGACAGTAGGCATGGTACATTGCCCTTAAAACTTGACTTGATTTTTTCAATGCTGAAAAAAAAAGCTTTTCTCATTACAGAAATTTAGAAAAACGAAACATAATTGTACTAAAGAATGATCATAACACGTTATTTAAAATGAACCCTTATGTTTATAATATACTTATACTTATGTACTTGTAATTATGTATACATTAAAGGAATAGGAAGCACGGCATAGCAGTTACAATTCAAATACCGTTGTACAATCATTAACAATCTCACGTGCTTACGTAATCGGCAATTATTGAAGGGAAGCCAGATCTAAGTCTTGCGTTAATTAGCCGACGGCTCAACGTAGTCCCAGAGAACTCTGCACCTGTCCTTTTCAATATTTATGGCGGTCTGTTAGACTCAAGTTATTCCGTTAGGTAGATAGAGTCTATGGAACTTTGACGTGTGACGTCATAATTAGAATCGAAAACCCCTCAGGCGAGATGTAGTCTTCAGTGTTATGGGTACCGAAATTACATAACATTACTATTTTTTTTCTTTTTCGTGTCTTATGAATAGTGAAATGTGTTATAATATTATTATGTTGTGTTTATGATTATATATGTGAGAATGTGTATACAGATATATAGTATGGTATAGATATATAGATATACGTGTACATTTTACATTATTATTATGATATAATAATATGTAAGGCGTTGTATTTCAGATAATGCCTTAGGCAGTAAGTCCGCTACTGTACTTTTGTGAATAAACCTGAATAAATAAGAGACAAAAGCAGTACATACACTCAGATTCACAATTTTTGAAATGAAATACTTACTTAACAATTGTTCACGATTGACTTCCACGGTAAAAAAATAACACCGTGTAATAAAAATCAAACACGCAAAATTATAATTTGCGTAATCACTGGTGGTAGGACGTCTTGTGAGTCCGCACGGGTAGGTACCACCGCCCTGTCTATTTCTGCCGTGAAGCAGTAATGCGTTTCGGTTTAAAGGATGGGGTAGCCGTTGTGCTGTTAAAACTGAGACCTTACAACTCATGTCTCGAGGTGGGTGGCGGCATTTACGTTCTAGATGTCTATAGGCTCCGGTTACCACTTAACACTAGGTGGGCCGTGAGTCCACCCTAGCTAAGCTATATATTTTTTTAAATTAAATAACTGTTAGACAAACAACTATATACCTAGTGTCCTTCTTCAAACGAGGCTTGCGGAGAGTTCTCAACGGTAGGCAGCGGCTTGGCTTTGTTCCTGGTATTGCTAATCTTTACGAGCGACCATAAACACACACTATTAGGTGGGCTGTAAGTTCGTGTGCCTACAGGGGCTATAAAATTTTTTTAAAGTTTATTATTTAATAGAGTCGTGATGTGCAATCATAAAATCGAATTACTAAATTGTCTGTTTGTATTGTTGAACAGTGCAATTCGGAATTAGTATAATAATTGCAATGACTATCTCCGCAGTCTCGACGTCCTGCTAAATGGCGTTTAATTGCGAATACTCGTAAATACTTTCGTGTTATGACTACGAACTAATTTGTCTAAATGTTCGTGTAAACGACCTTTGGTTTTTAGATTATAAATTATTTTATTAGGGCAAAATCTAGTGGATTTAACTTTAACACCAAAAATCTTTATTAAAAAAAGAAACGGTAACCACTTAACATCAGGTGGGCCTTTTGTTCGACTGCCTACAAAGGCAATAAAAAAAAAACTCATCAGGAAAGCCGAAGACTGCCATTGATATTCATCTTCTTTTAAAATAAATTTAGTGTGCCAGTGTGAACTAACTAAAATAAACCGATCTTCCTACATTCTATACAATATTATAGAACTTTCATATCAAATCTTATTTCGGTTAGAAATTTTAAATGGTAATATTTTGAATTCGGCCGGATAGTATTCAAAGAAGAAACAAATTTGTTTCTTTATTAAACACATTTTCTATGGCTGTATTACCATGGATTCCATACAAGAATGCAAATTTTATCTAAACCGCAATACGCTACTTTCAAACTGACGCGAATGCCTTATAAATATGAATGGACATTAGTAAAATAAGACTAAGGAATAATAAAATAAACATATTGATATATAATAATGCTATACTATTTTATATAAAATACCTACATAGGAAAAATATTCTTTACCTAAGAGATTGTTAGTTGATTGACGTGTTATTAACGTAAGAATTTTTGTTCCAAGGTCCATGCGAAGTGGAAACGGGTCAATCGAGTATTATAGTCGATATCGAAGAAAGCAGAGGAGATCGTAAGTTAAAGGCCTAATAATATAAAACTCTCCTGTTGTTTTTACTGCATACGCTATACGCAAGAGTCAGCAAGCTGAAGTGGCAGTGGGCTGGCATTATATGCCGTAGGACTGACGATCGCTGGAGCAGACGGGCTCTCGAGTGGAGACCGCGCAGCGGAAGACGTAACGTGGGACGCCCCCTGGCTAGGTGGTGCGATGACCTCCGAACGGTGGCTGGTAAGAAGTGGATGAGGAGAGCCGTAGACCGGGCTCAGTGGTGTGGATTGGGAGAGACCTGTGTCCAGCAGTGGACGATTGGGCTGTTGATGATGATGATGCTATACGCAAACATATGCAATCTAACTTATCTTACCTGGGTTCGAGGATTATCAAAGCTATCATGAAGGAGATACCTGCAGTCATTTTTCTTAGGTTTAAATGATATCATAAAAATATCTATAATGGCTCCATACTTCAAACAGGAGCACAATGTTCACGATTGACTTCCATTGTGAAGGAATAATATCGTGTAATAAAAATCAGACCCGCAAAATTATAATTTGCGACATTACTGGTGGTATGACTTCTTGTGAGTCCGCACGAGTAGGTACCACCACCCCGCCAATTTCTGCCGTGAAGCAGTAATGCGTTTCGATTTAAAGGGTGGGGTAGCTGTTGTAACTATACTGAGACCTTAAAACTCATATCTCAAGGTGGGTGGCGGCATTTACGTTGTAGATGTCTATGGGCTCCGGTAACCACTTAACATCACGTGGGCTGTAAGCTCGTCCACCCATCTATGGCGGCGGTAGGCCGGGTTGTTACGCAGTATGGAGAACTAGCCGATCTTGAAATTAGGCAGACATTTTGATAGAGAAACAAGACGAGAAAACTGCAATGCAGCTCATAATAAGACTGAAACGATAAAATCTTATCAATTCCTATCTCTCATAGTGGTTGAAGTCTCAAGATATTACTGTAAATGCAGTCGTTGTTCTTCAAATTGAAACGAATAATAATGGTTAAGTACCCGTACGATGACTGGGTTTGTGATGTTTAAATTGTTGGTGTATAACAATACACATCCTTATTCCAATACACCTTAAAGGAAGAAGTGGTTTTGGGTTCCAAGTGCTTGCTCCGAGGCCCATCAGCACCTCCGCAAGGTCCCCGCGTATTTAAAGTAAGACTCTGCTAATGAAATCACTATTCCCATTGCAGAAGTTAACCAAAGCACGGTGCCAGCAATCTTGCCAGTAGTGGGGGAGCCCGATGTGGATGTGGTATTATCGACAGTGTTCCCTAAGGGGCCAACGCTGTTTCAGCTCGATGGAAAACGCTTACAACTGCTCCAGCCCCTCGATAGAGACGCTGACAACCTCTCACATATGGTCTTTCAGGTAAAGATAAGCCTAAACAAATCAACTGTTTTAAATGATGAAACACATTACAAAATTACTGGTGGCAGGACCTCTTGTGAGTCTGCACGGGTAGGTACTACCGCCCTGCCTATTTCTGCCGTGAAGCAGTAATGCGTTTCGGTTGGAAGGGTGGGGCAGCCGTTGTAACTATACCGAGACCGTCGAACTTATATCTCAAGATGGGTGGTGCATTTACGTTGTAGATGTCTATGGGCTCTAGTAACCACTTAACACCAGGTGGGCTGTGAGCTCGTCCACCCATCTAATAAACAACAGTTTTTTTTTCAATTAGTTTCTAATGAATATAAACAGATTTCAACGAAGTATAAATGAGTGTATTATCAATGTAGTGGAATTTAGTGAAATATTCAATAATAAGGAAAACTCAAAAACTAGTCCGCTCTTGATAAAAAATGAGTAGCAACAGAGCAAAAAAAATAATAACCTACTCCCTTTTTAAGTCGGTTAAAAACAGCGCTTAACCTCCTTATATAGCTGCTTATTTTCCGACTGTAAACTATCATATAAAATTAAATAAATAAAATTAATTAACAGCTCGTAGCCACTTATAGCAGTGGCGCATCATTAATATCTGCAGTTGTGTGTACGCAGTAACAATCCTATCTTGTGAAATTGCCGATAATTAACTGTATTTTATGGTTTCCATAATTATTTTAAATACGTTGTAATTGATAATGAAAAGGAAACTTCTTTTACGGTTACTAATTAAACTAAACTATAGGTGCCTACAGCTTTATCGCATTTTTAAGAAATATTTATAAGTACTTTTTATACGATAATTACGTTTGAAATGTCCAGTATTATAACACGGCAATTTCGTAAGGTCAAGACCTATGATTTTGTTATTTTGAAGTTTTTTTATATTTTTTTATTGCTTAGGATGGACGAGCTCACAGCCCACCTGGTGTTAAGTGGTTACTGGAGCCCATAGACATCTATAACGTAAATGCGCCACCCACCTCGAGATATAAGTTCTAAGATCTCAGTATAGTTACAACGGCTACCCCACCCTTCGAACCGAAACGCATTACTGCTTCACGGCGGAAATAGGCAGGGTGGTGGTACCTACCCGTGCGGACTCCCATGAGGTCCTACCACCAGTAGACAACATGTAGTTTTAAATATGAAAAGAATATAATATATGGATAGGCAGAAATGCTTAGTATTTTTATTACAAAAACACTATTCTAATGTACCCAAAATTGGATTTACGTTGTAAACAAATTTAAATATTATAATTGTAATATTGCAAAACAAAAATAGTGAAAGTTATAGGCCAGAATCTAAAGCTATTAGAAATTTGTCATCGCGTAATATAAATAATAGCTAAAATAAACAAAAACATGTCACAAATTGAGACATGACCACCGGTGGGTGGCTAGAGCTTTCGATCTGTGATCTTACCACACTAATTTATTGCATTCACTTTGAGCTCCATTCAAAGATTTCAGATCATTGGATTCTAATCTTAAAATTCAATGCGTTAAGGAACGTAATCGCTTGCTTTTAAATCATTTCCAAATACGAACTTATTATCAAGAAGCCTGAAGCCATAACATCGATCTGCATAATATAATTAATCGTCGTCAGTGACTAATGTTGTCAATAATTAATGAAATGGTTTGGTTTCCAGTTGGTGTGCCAAGTGAAAGCTACGAAGAAGCGTCGGACCATACCTGTGATAGTGAGAGTGTCGGATATCAATGATAATGCGCCCGTGTTTCAGGGGACACCGTATGAAACTAGCGTCTCTGAGGTACGATGCGATTTTGATAATTTGAAACTTAAATTTAACATAGTTAGATTGGATTTTGAATAAATAGAAAAAAGTTATGCAAACATTTTTCTAAAATTCTAAAATTTAAAAAATATCTAGAATAAACGCAATAACAATGATATACTAACTTTTGTAAAGCTTACGATAATTTTAGGCACCTATGATCCTTCTAAAGGCACTGATCATGACAACACCACCGTAATCAAACAAACAGATAACAAATTAGTTAGTAGTAATATTATTATGATTCTATTGTCAAATTTTGCCAAGACTACACTATAGACAAATCATATTAAAGATAAACAATATTAACCTATTCTCAATTTGACCACAGACTTTAAGCAATAACAAAGGTTTCACAACAAACAAAGAGTACAACAAATACATGATAGTGTGTGTAATGTTTTTGTTTTATTGATTTATACATTAAATTTTCATGCATGATTAAATAACATATTAACATTCTGCACTCCTTCTCTATATTCTCTCTATAAGTGTAGGAAATTGCGTACTCCTCCGTTCGCGCAATTTTCGTAAAAAGGGGCTCACAGAGTTTTTACTTCACGTATTAATATATAGATTATGTTTTTCACTTAAATATAGTTGGCTCCGATTGGCACGACGATATTCGAAGGGATTCGAGCAGTTGACATCGACGCTGGAGTCAATGGCTTGTCAGAATACTTCATAATACAGGGAGATAACCAGACATTGGATTCAATGAACGCCGCTGACGGGTACAGCCATTTCGCCATTCCGATACCTCATGTTGGACACGTCACAGTTAACAAGAGTTTGGATTACGAACGAACACAGAAGTATCTAGTCACTATTGTTGCTTCTGTAAGTATTATAGGAATGAGGGATTTAAATATGGGATATTTACTGGTGGTAGGACGTCTTGTGAGTCAGCACGAGTAGGTGCTACCACTCTGCCTGTTTCTGCCGTGATGCAGTAATGCGTTTCGGTTTGAAGGGTGCGGCAGTCGATGTACTGTAAAAACTAAGACCTTAGAGCTCATATCTCAAGGTAAATAGCGGCATTTACCTTGTAGATGTCTATGGGCTCTGGTAACTATTTATCACAAGGTGGGCCGTGAGTTCGTCTACCTATCTAGGCAATAAATAAAAAATTAAAGAAAGAACCAGACAATGGTACATTATTTTTCGTCCTATGGGATATAAAATCGCAAAGCCCGTAGGTAACACCACATCAATGCCGTTACTTTTAAGCCGATTAAGTCGGCCTTTCTAAACAGCTTTTCATTTAAAATACCGAGTTTTTTTCATTGTTACTTGTGCCCACCAGAGTTCCACCAGACATCTCGAGCTCAGTGGATTCTATGAACACCATTTATGGTACATAAGCGTACCACCAATCTTTGCAAGAAATGACATGTTCTCATTATAGAATTTGATAACGAATTTCTCCTCAATATTTTTAAGGATCGTGCCCGTGATAACAAAAGACGGTTGTCAAGTACAACGACGCTAACAGTGAACGTTCAAGATGATGATGATCAAGATCCTTCATTCATATACAAAGGCTGCACCCTACACGAAGGAGCTTGTTTCAACCCCGAATATGCCAGTTACGTAAGTTGTTCTCTACAAAGACTTATGGTTGCTGCTAATTTATCAAAGCCCATGTTTGTGTCATTTCATATTACGGACGGGCAATGAACGACTTGGGATAAAAGCTTGAATATTTTTAAAGGTCCTCTATAAGCATCACTGAAACAAATTCTAATTTTTTTTTTATTGTTTACAGACGCACGTACTAATGTTCACGTAATAGTAATTCGGCATTGTAATTTATGTAGCATACTTAAGCCATGGCCACAATCAAAATCTTGCTTACCGTTAGAATTTTTTTTCTGAAAGTAGCTTGCAGGGACATAGAAAATTTCAAGCCGGATTCTAAGTAATAACTTTGACCGAATGTTAGTAAACCTATAGCAGGAGATCGATCAATACGATTAAGGGATTAATTTCAATTTTCGTTCAGAGTCAGTTAAAGAATTGGTATTCTGGTTCATGTAACCATAAGAGAGGAATGGAATGTTCTAGCTAGGGCCCTTTAAACATTAGGCTGTTCTGCTATTAATCAAGAAGAGGTTATCACTCGAGCCGTTGTATTTATTACATCTGCAATAGGAGTTCCCTCATGTCACAATATATATTACCAACAGTGTGTATGTAATTGAAACTTGAATTTCAAATCCCAACGAGAGTGGCATTCTTGATATTGAAGTCTATAGACCAATAAGCGTTGAATGACAAGTGCGCAATGGACTTTTCTGGTTAATTCTGGCAAAAAAATTAACCTAACTTTTTGTATATCCCTATACCAGGTGAACAGCGGTATGCTAGCAGGAATACTCTCATTAGAACCGGAAAAGATTCAAGCCGTCGACATGGACACATTGAACGCGAGGATACGTTACAGTATCGAGAGCGGAGAACCAGAGTCCTGGCCGGATTATTTTACTATCGACACAAACACCGGCGCTGTAAGGCAACTGGTGCCGGTCGATACAAGTATTGCGAAAAAGTTTCAATTGGTCATTAAGGTGAGATATTGATTGGTTTCACGATTTTCAAACAGATAAAGCTTTAGGAATTCGATGAATTGTCACGCTGGAGTTCAAATTCTGATTCGGGCACTGTTGTTTTTTGAGAAAACGCAAGTATTAATCAGTTAGCGTTTACGTTGTAGGTGGGTGGCGCATTTACGTTATAGGTGGGTGGCGCATGTACGTTGTAGATATCCTTGGGCTCCAGTAACCACTTAACACCGGCGGGGAGTGAGCTCGTCCACCCATCTAAGGAATAAAAAAAAAAGTTGACATTTTTTCGATATATTTAAGGATATCGATAAAGTGAAGATATACCATCGAGCAAGCGATATTGGTCAGTGGACCCACAATCTAAGTGTTGTATATGCATACGTATAAATATCTTGAAAACCTTGTTAGCACGTCTCAAGTGTTTGTCAAATATCTTGTGTTCTACGATACTACCGCAAGAGTAATTTGTTGGTTTTGTTGACCACATGATCCACGTGATGAGTAAAATTACATGTAAAATACCTCTATCAACTAATCTATTACAACAGACATTGCAAATATTTTTGTAAATTAATTGCCTGTGGTCCCCCGTTACCTTCTTGGTGCCAAGTGGTTACCGGAGCCAATAGATATTAGCAACATCATTGGCACTATCCACCTTGAGACATGAGTTCTAACCGAAACGCATTAGTGCTACACGACATAGATAGGCAAGGTGATGATACCCGGAAATCTGGTGACCACAAAGACTTAAGAAAATTTCAATCTTTTTTTTTCCTACCTTGGCTGAGGGCCTTGAGAGGCTATTTCAGCGTAACCTTAACTAGTAGGTGAGCTCGCAGGGCTCAAACCTGACGACGTTGCTAACACGAACCCTAGCAATTTCAAGCAAAAATCAACTGACGTTAATGTATTTTAGGCCGAAGAAGTATCAGAAGCGAAACGTTATACCACAGCCAAGCTGACCATCACAGTGCGGCCGGTAGACGCTAGTCCACCAGTCGTGAAAGCTTCTTCAGATTTAGGGGAAGTCGAGGAAAACTCACCGAAAGGAACTAAAGTCTTGGACTTAAACGGTCAGCCGATTGAGCTAACTGTTTCCGATCCTGATCTGGTGAGTGTTAATACATAGATTCAAAATAGTCATTCGTACGTGCCTACTCCCCCTCCTCGCATCGTTTTTCTCATTACTGAGGGTCGTGACTCCCCCGCTGCACCAGTTTCTCCCGTACGATTTATTTATTTATTTATTTATTTATTAAGTTACACCAACAAAGTGATCATCAATACAAAACATTGACAAATTGACAAAAGTTCATGGCATTTCATTTCATTTCCCTCCATCTACCGCGATTCTTAGCTTCATGAAGGGCATTGTGGAAGTTGATGTTTAGAGAAGATCGTATTTGATCCGACCATCTCGTGGGACTGCGTCCTCTGGGACGTTTGCCATCTATCTTTCCTGTCACCATCAGCTGTTCTAGATTGTGACCCTCTTTACGAGCAATATGTCCGAAGTATTCCAGCACCATACGAATATAGTGCCTACTATGGAAATACATATAATGGTCAGACTTGCAGAGCGACCTTTTGATATTTAGGGCTGACCCCTGTTAGATGTTAGCATTAGAAACTTTAAGATAATATTAATGACCGGCGAAAGGCTATTTGGTTTGAGCGACATTTTAGCAACTTTACAGGAGAGCCATTTAAAGTTAAAATTTGGGAAAAATATCATACCAAAATTAACTTCAGCTATTTGAATGGAGTAAAATTAATTGAAGTTCAATGAAAAATCGGTTGTCTGTAAAGTCGGTTTACTGACGATGGTTGAACATGACAACATCATAAAAAAATACTGATGGAATGGCTTCATTTTTCAATATTTTTTTTATTTTTATTCGCGGAGGCGAGGTTTAACGCGGAGGCCGATTGTGCCTCTCTGTCGCTCGTTGCGCGCTCTCGCTTGCACTTCAAGCCTTAAATGGAACGCCTCAGGGCGAGGTAACGCCGCATGAGTCATGTTTTTTCGTGCGTGCAGCCGGCCCCATCGAATTATAAGACGTTGTCACGTCAAAAACACAAACTGTTGATACTAATAACAAATAAAACGGACCTTTAATTACAAAGATAAATTTCATGTATTAAGTGAAATGTCCTTCCCTTCACTCCTCGACACAATCATAGAAGTACCGAATAGTGAACGAATATAATTTCAACAGGGACCAGGAGATCCAATTCCGAACTACACGTTTGAACTGACAACTAATTTCTTCGACATCAAGGACGGATATTTGGTTGTTAGTGACGAGACGCTTGACAGGGATCCACCGAATCCAGGGAAATATAGAATTCAGGTATCTATCGAACAAACCTATTTAAAATGCCATACCGGGTGCTTGGGAGTCTGGCAATCCCTATAAAATTAATTGATAAATTGTACTGTATACAAATATTTTTAAGTAGAATACAAAAGGTCTCACGAAATCTCTACTGGAGATTGTGATCTAATGAACTATGAACCAAAATAAGGCTTATTAAGATTCAGTAACTTGCTTGTTAAATGGCTAATAGTCCACCAGTATTACACATTCAAACCCTATTCTTCAAGTTATTATATTATTTGTACATATACAAAAATAAAAAAGAAATGTCATTGAATTCGCGCCAAAAGACACTGAACTTATTTTTGGTAACGTTGCCATACTAATTAATTGCTATAATTTCTTTAAAGGTCAATTGAACCTATTTTAATATTTTCTATTGATTTTTATTTATTGAAAAAGCTTATGAATGAGTGATTATCTGATGCTAGAAATTTTTTTCACTCAGGTTGTAGCCCGCGAAGCGAACGGTGGAGCCGCCTCAGCTCCTTACACGATCACCGTACAGTTGCTAGACCAGAACGATAACGCACCAACCATACCTAAAACCCAACCAATAATTGTACCGGCCACTTTAGAACCCACTGCAGTGCATAAGGTGAGATTTGTTCTGCGAAAAGAAGATGGCGTATGTAACTACAAGTGACGTGGCCTCAAATACAAAAATGGCGCCCGAAATGTTGCTCTAATAATTTTTTCAATCAATTAATGTGCTTATAAAATTAAATTATTACACAGTTAGGTGTTATTACTTTCTATTCTATACATTTTATATCAATTATGGAGGGTAGAGGTAAGGAGAATCATCTCATATGGGAGAAGCTTGATAAAGTGTCCCACTTTCAGCACTAAATAACAGTTCAAAAATCATCCAGAATGGCTCTAGCACAGGCTCAGGGTATGATATGAATTGAGCAGTTGTTAACTGATTGAAGTATGCTGAGATAGGAAATTTAATATATTTAATGACTAGAGTAGCTAGTGACAGTGTAATATACAAGACCTCACCTGTTTATGTAGTCCAAACTAATTTCGTCAATATAACCTAAAATTATTGGTGTGGTAAAAAGTGAAGACATCGATTGCATTTTCTTATCAGCTTTAAATAAAATACTTTTTGTGATTTTGTAGTGCTTACAGTTCTTTCGTCTTTTTTTTTTTATTTTTCTATTTTATTCTAAAAACTATCAGCGCTTTTTTTTACTTTACTCGGTTGCTACTGTAGCGCCACCCTTATTTAGCAGATTTTAACGGACACATTTTCACACACAGAGACGGTTCTCCTTACCTCTACCCTCCATAATATCAATGAATAAATTAGAAAAAAATTGGACAAGGAATTTCAGTAATCTTTTCTTTTATTTATTCATAGTAACATTATGTTTTTGTACAGGTCGAAGCTGTTGACATCGACGAGGGTGAGAACGCACGTGTGACCTATAATTTATATCACGTGTCTAATAATGGTGGCAACAAATTCACTATAGACCCTAACACGGGAGTTATATGTAAGCACCGATCACTGTCTAAATTACACTTGTAACACTTTTCTCAATCGAACGAACGACGAATTGAATTTCGTCACTGATATTAAGTACGGTCCGAAATCTTTTTCTCTTCTTTTTAATATTTTTCGATTGGATAGGTAATAGAAATAACGTTTGTTGTCGGATTCTGCTGTTGAAATATAGTTGGAAGTTGCTTTACATTGCCTAATAGTGGTTAGAAGCTAGTATTGAGCCTATATACATAGGCAGAGGCGATTTTGTCTACGGTGCTGAATATGGCCGCAATGGCGTTAGGGGGCGCCGGCGTCGGCACTTTCAATGAGCCTGATACATTTGTACTGACATATTTGTATTTCAGTTTGACCGCGCGCTTACTAGAGGGCGCTGAGGTAATGAGAGACAAAGAGAGATTGAGAGAGTAAGATAGTGTGGGAGTGAGAGAGAGAGAGAGAGGGAGAGATTGAGAGAGTGTGGGAGTGAGAGAGACAGTATTCTTTATGTTACACAAAATTAATAAACAATGCGAACATTACAATTTACAAAAAAAAAACAAAATACAAAAAAATAATGCACAATTTTTTTTTTTTACACTAACTTTAAATGGTCTATAGACGCTTTTGTCTATAGGTATGCGATTTTAGATCGAATTTTAGAAAATTTCAATAGGTTTTTACCGCACAGATACAATATTTTCTGCATTCTACAGTTGCAAACTATTATTTTTGGTAAAAAGTATTTACAGGCATATCTTTCTTTCTGAGCACAAATATTTTAGTGCATTGCTGCAATGTAATTTGATTCTCCTTTAAAAAACTCATGGTAATGAATGACTTACAATTATCCATCCTGTTTGGTTTTGCTTGAACGCTCTTCCTTTCATATTTATTTAACTATCGAATTATATCTTTCTTGTGTGAATTGTGAACTATGAAAATAATATTCTCACATCATAACAGCACTTTGTTTTTGACCTTAAAGTTTTAGGATTAGGATAGATTTTTAAGTAGTATCTTAGTAATTTTATTAATGTAAAGTTTCCTGCAAAACTGCATGAATACTTTAGGTTATATAATTTCACAAACTCATGAGCCCACGACTTCGCCTTATCACCAGTAAATTCCAATACTAAGCAATAAATTACCGTAGTTCGTTCACTATATAAGGAGTAAATTTTTTAAAACCGTAAATCTGGAGCGTTTGCTTCACGGACACTTAAAATTGTTTTATAATAATACCTGATGGTGAGTGGTCGCCGTCGCCCATAGACTTCAGCAATGCCAGGGGCACAGCTAAGCTGCTGCCTACCGTTAAGTACTCTCTACAAGCCTCGTTTGAAGAAGGACATATCATAGTGCTCGTGGAAACACCGTGCGAGGGAGCTCATTCCAAAACCGGATGGTACGTGGCAAAACAGATCTCTGGAAACGTACTGTGGATGAACGCATTGGCTCCAGGTAGTATGGATGAGCTCTACTCCGATGGCGGGCGATGCGATAGTAAAAACGAGATGATGGCATCATCTCAATTCCTCAGAGCACTCTTCAAATGACAAAACTCGTTCATATTCCAGCAAGCACGGGGCGTCTCCAAGCCGGCGAACAATACAGCGTTACAGTTCGAGCCACCGACGCTAAGGGCCTCAGTTCGCAGGGCATCGTCGAGTTATCCGTGGCCCCCGGCCCTAACACGAGCCCGCCGCAGTTCTCATCCAGGGACTACTACGCGCCCGTCTCAGAGGGCGCCGCCATCAACTCGACCGTCACCACGGTCACTGTGAGCGCTCGTGATTATTTGAACCCTTATGAGAATAAAAGATCTCGCAATTATGCTTCATTTGGTTCTTTTTTTAAACAGTACCAACGAAACTTTTCTTTTTATTGCTTAGATGGGTAGACAAGTTCACGACCAACCTTTTAAGGTTTTAAGTGGTTGCCGGAGCCCAATGTCGTCACCCACCTTGAGATTCTAAGGTCTCAGTATAGTTACAACGGCTGCCCTACCCTTCAAACCGAAACGCATTACTGCTTCACGGCAGAAATAGGCGGGGTGGTGGTACCTACCCATGCGGTCTCACAAGACGTCCTACCACCAGTAATCAGTTTCACAATAGTAAAAAAAAAGATGTGTGGTGTCATGGGACACCGGATAGGAACGAAGTTCCTTATTATAAAAAATATAAATTTTAAGTTCCATTCTACATAAAGAAAATAATTATTCTGGTATACATTTTTTATTATGATTTTTTATTGATAAAAAAAAAAAACTACAACGTTATCAACTTTATTTTATTCACAATTATTTATAAAAAATATATAATGATAATATACAAAGAAACAGCTATTTATATGAATAATAATAATAACCGTCATCACGTAGACTATACATTAGACACTGTATAGCCATCATACTAAGACTATATATAAATAATAAAAATCTTACGTTACGGACGTTTTTTTCCCGGTTAGGATACCACTCCGCATCGTCCCATAAGGAACTTCGAAATTTAATTTTTACACAAATATTATATAGCTGTTTTTTCTATTAATTTTCAGGCAAAAGATCCTGAGAACGAGCCTGTAACATACAGCATATTATCTGGAAACGATCTGCGACAGTTCGCAATCGGCTCTAATACTGGTGTCATAACGGTCATTAGGAGTCTCGATCGAGAAGTTTTGACGAGATATCAATTGGTATGAAAATTTTTAATTAAAAATTAAGTTTAGTGTAGCTTTAGTTGATAATTTGAAATACTTTTGAGTTTGCTTAAAAAAATTTAGCAATTATAATGCGATTGATCTTAAAGGAGGCTTTATGAATATATTCGTGAACACAATACGTCTCTTTTATTACTTGAAGTAATAAATCTCATAATAAAAATCGTGTAAGAATGAATAGAGATGTAATCTATCTACACATATAGTACACATACTTAACACATTTAAATAAACTAGTGAGTGTGTAGTTTAAAACCGATAATCGAAATTCAACCATAATAAAAAAATTAAAATTTAGTTTTATTTTGTTTGTTGCATTTTCTATGTCGTTTAGCTATTAATAAAACTTAAAAGGAAAACGGTTTTTTTAAAAATAAAATCACTGATAACACTTAGCATTTCCAGTAGCTTCTAAAGTGAAGATAATCAGCTTAAAAAGTAGAAAAAAATACTAAAATAGAGGTTGTATACAAAATTATGCCCGGTATCGTCGATCCAAGCGATTTCTTTGAGTTAGTTACACAGATAAACATCAAGAATATGCTAGGCTATATAAATACGATCAATTTGTAATATTTAGTCCTCATAATTATTCGAATACATTCGATTATTAATGAATAAATAAAAGACGAATCGATTAAAAAAAATCGATACTATTACTGGGTATTTTGTTTTAATTACAAGCACAACATTTATCGATGTTTCAGGAGGTGAAAGCAGAAGATCCAGGGAAATTAGTGAGCACTGCGACCGTCAATATTAAAGTTACCGACATAAACGATAATAATCCGAAATTTGATGAGGAATTCTATACGTTTCATGTTAAAGAAGGTAGATAATTAACATATCACAACTATTTTAAATCTAACCACAGCTTATTAGTTAAGTTAATACAGATTTATCGAAGCGCCTAAAGTCCTTTGCGATTTGTTCTTAAAAGTTCTGGCTTGGGCTGAAGTTCGCGACGCATTCGACGTTAAGTGTTGCCAGATTAGATGTACTCTTCAAACGGAAGCGGAAGTTCAAGGCGGTAAGGTTCGATAGGTTCTATCATCAGTTATTCGAATATCATCAATAAGCAACACTATACGGAATACTTATGTACGCCGAAATAACGAGAAAAAACAAACTTAAAACCAAAATATAGTTGCAAACTTCCAAGCCACCATTAGACGGAGACTTCGGAAATCGGATAGATTGACATAACCCAATTGTATAACAAAACATCTTCTTCTTCTTCGTTGCTTCCTCATTACTGAGGGTCGTGACCACCTTGATCTAGTTTTTGCACCAGCTTCATCCAATGTTGCCTGCATTTGGCCTGCTTAGTGGCGCCCGGGACGCTGGTGTTTGTGGCCTCCTTGACAATGTCCGTCCACCTAGTTGGCGATCATCCTCGACTTCTCTTTAAGGAAAGAGAGAGGCCACGTGACCTACAACTATTAGTTTTTCCAAGTTGTCAGGATTTCGTCGGGCCACGTGTCCGAAGTACTAGAGGAGACGCTGCATATTGAAATAACCGCTTTTTACTTCATGCACATGAATATATATACGGTACATACACCAAAATATCATTTTTTACAATTTTTGTCTGTCTGTCTGTTTGTTTGTTCCGGCTAATATCTGGAACGGCTGGACCGATTTTGACGGGACTTTCACTGATAGGTAGCTGATGATATAAGGAGTAACTTAGGCTACTTTTTTTAGACTAGCTTCGCCTCGCGACGTCACCCGTGGTACGACAATAACCGCCGGTAACATCGTGAGACTCTATAATCAATCATAAAATTTAAGGTTTCTGAAGCGAAGCGAGGGCGGGTCGCTAGTATAATATACGTATAATACTGTGGCGGGTAGCCATTATACAACGCAAGATAATTGACAGATGCCTGAATCTCGCTTACGACATTTTCAAGATAAAGCGCATATATACAAGTTCCGAACAACAACATTCGGACCGTCGGTCTACCGAGCAATATCACCCGCTCGGTGGAAGATCTTCCCTTTCGTCGTATATTCCCAAAATACAATACTTACACACAGAATATTACCAATATATTATTAATATTATAGGGATGTCCGATGAATTCGTTGGGTACGTGCACGCGACGGACGCGGACGAAGGCGTCAACGCGATCATAAGCTACAGCATCCCGAACAATTTGCCTTTCAACATCGACAACAACACCGGGATGATCAGCACCAAGACCAAACTCGACTATGAGAAGACGAAGGTGAGTACAAAACTTTTAGATTTCCCGTTCATTTGTCAATAAAATATACGGTATATTTATTTAGCTAATAAACCCGATACGACGCAATTAAAATTTCCGGAAAAAAAACAAATAAAAAAAACAATAATACTCTAACAATGTTAGAAGTAGAGAGGGAAGAGGTTGACCGTAGAAGACATTGGAGTGTGTGAGTGACGATATGAGAGAAATAGAGAGAGGAGTGAGTGTTGAGCTGACGGCTGATAGAACAGAATGGAGTTTTAGCGAGACCAAAGAACAGCAATTCGTTTATATATATAGAGATCCCAATCCACTTTGGAGCCACATACGGATGGTGAACATATAAAGGATCAAATAATACTGCCCGGATCAACTAGTGAAAATGGATCAAACAAAAACTACTTGTACGGCACGTTTGATCAACTAAGTGTGGATTGGGATCTCTATATATATATATATAGAGATAATAGAGATATCTATATATATATATATATGTATATACAACATGTAACATATTTAACGCACACCCTCAAACACCCCAATTAGACTTTAATAGTATAAACGCTATGCATACACCAAATATTATTTATATGTGCGTTAACATTGATTATTTGTGAAATTAGTTATTCCAATTTCGTGGAAATAAAATGGTCACCGATTCACACTCCGCTGCGCACGCACACACAGACACCTACTCGCCGCGCCCCTTGTTCAATGCACTTTAATGACCGTTTTCGTATTTGTTGTTTTATTTTAGATAATACTGCAATGTCACTTTTCACTTTATCAAAGGCGGTTATTATCTTATTCTTTAGTTCTTCGGCACTTATTGTCTGTGTGTTATAAACTAGCGATTTAATTCGCCCCCACAAAAAAAAGTCGAGAGGCGTCAAATCAGCTGATCTAGGAGGTCACTGACCGAAAAGACATAGCGAAATACGGGAGATATTTTATTTGCACTATCACTTGACCTCTTATCGATAAGGTGGACGCGGCGTGACTGACTTGTCAAAAATATTTTGTTGACTTCGTTGTTTAGATTTTTCTTTGATCACCGCCGACGCAACCGCGTCGCATCGGGATTAGCCTGTCGTTTATTGTAAGAATATTAAGCCGACGAAAGAAAGGGATAGTAATTATTTTTGTATTACGTGGTTTTCTTTTATGTATTGTAGTGTTGTTGTGTGCCGGCGGTCGCTGTTGGTATTGTGTGCGTAGGTATTTTATTTTGTAATAGACTATTAGCCTTGAAATAAGTATCAGATTTATTTAATTAAAAATTTTTTTTTTTACTAATTAGATATTTCATTTTAAAAAGTCTTAATACCCTGACTTACGTTCCATTTTCGTTTTTATGAATTGTTTAGCTAGCTGTGTAGGGTGACTGTAATTTACTTAGTGTTAACTAAATTTTAGAAAAAAAATTTGGTACATAAAAAACAATCAAAATCGATCCAGATTCCGATTCTGAACAAATTACTTTCAGGGTGTGCGTTAATTATGTTACATGTTGTATATATAAGTATAGATTAGCATCAACAGTTCGATGTTTTCAATTGAACTTCAATTAAATTTACTCCGTTCCGATATTTTTTCCTAATTTAAAACTTTAAGTGGCTCTCCTGTAAAGTTGCAAAAAATTCGCTTAAACCAAATAGCCTTTCTCCTTTCGATATTATTTCCGACATTCGCAATACTTGTTTATGAAGTTAAACCGTAAAAATGTTCAAATATGTCTACAACATTTCTTACTGGTGGTAGGACCTCTTGTGAGTCCGCGCGTGTAGGTACCACCACCCTGCTTATTTCTGCCGTGAAGCAGTAATGCATTTCGGTTTGAAGGGTGGGGCAGCCGCTGTGACTATACTGAGACCTTAGAACTCATATCTCAAGGTGGGTGGCGCATTTACGTTGTAGATGTCTATGGGCTCCAGTAACCATTAACACCAGGTGCGCTGTGAGCTCGTCCACCTATCTAAGAAAAAAAAATACTTTAAAATCTAGGGTTGAGACGTCTCAAAAAATTACTTTTTTTTTCAGGAATATTCTTTCGTGGTAACAGCGACAGATGGCGCTATAGACAAACGTCTGGGAACAGCGTCGGTCGCTGTACAAGTACAAGACATACCCGATGAAGCGCCAATATTTCCTTTGCCGCTGTATTCGGTTCATGTACCGGAAAACGTGCCCAATTACCCAGTCGTTAAAGTTCAGGTTCGTGTGATGTGAAATTAATCGTCACGTAGCGATGTAGTATCGATTTGTACCTACGTATAAATATATGTATACTAGCTGTGTCCGCGACTTCGTCCGCGTGGAATTTAACAAAACATTAAATTTATAATTTTTTTTTTAAATAGAAGTATCCTAATTTACTCCTTATTACACTAGCTATCTGCCAATGAAAGCCCCGCCAAACTTTGTCCAGCTATTCCAGAGATTAGTCGGGACAAACAGACAAACAGACAAAAATTGTAACAAACGTTATTTTGGTATATATGTACCGTATATACATTCTTAATATGCCTGTAGTAAAAATCAGTCAGCTTAATATTACAAACATACATAAAATTTTATTTTTCATTTCAACAATAAATATCAATCATCAAGTTTCGTGTACTTATAAATAAATTAGAATAAGGGTAGACAGATTTCTCTATTTTCCCATATCCTAGCCGCAATCGACCCTTAATCATGACGATTCCATCAGCTCAAAAATAACGAGAACTCCTTGAAAGAGTACGTTTGATAATAGCCTTGATAATTCCCCGAACAGGCAGAAGATCCCGATACATCTCCGGAGATAACGTACACGATAATGAAAGGCGATATGGATCTGTTTTCGATCGACCGCAAGTCGGGTCTGGTAAGGACCCTGCAGGCCTTAGACAGAGAGACCTCGGCCCGACACGAACTAATTGTTGGCACCGAAGAAAACACTGAAGAAGGACCGGGCGCGACCACAACTATAGAGATTGTCGTTGATGTGAGTATTCGTTACTAGTGAATTCCGAAGGCCGTCATTTTGTTTTATTGAAATTACAAAAAAATACTAAAGGCTTGTTTGGGATGTTCGCGCTATCTTATTTTTGTAGCAGATTTAATATATACATAATAGTAGCTTTTTATACCATCAACCAACCATCCATCTATACCATTTCCATATATTCCTTATACGGTGCTATTTCTGCGCTGTAACACGTTCTTCTTCAAACGAGGTACGAGAAAACTTCTCAGCGGTAGTCACAGCTTGGCTATGCCCCTGGCATTGCCTTGATGTCCATGGGCAACAGTGGTTACTCATCATCCAATTTTCCGTATGCTACGCTGTTTACAATGGCAAATGTATGAAGATGTTTTGAAAAGTACATAAAAGGCTGCTAGCTGCATCAATTGGGTACAGTTTAGACAAATAATTTATGTGTTTGCTTTTGAAAACATTTTGTGAATTATTTCGTTTGCCAGAAATTATTACAGATCTGATGAAGTAATTTTGAATACAAGGTTTCGTTAAATTATTGCTAACGCATTGGAGTTTTCCGTAGGGTTTCTTCTTGATAGTATACTTGACAATATTTTATTATGCTAGCTGCTAGATGAATGGATGAACATATGGTTCAATAGGTGTCAAGTGATTATCAAAATTCGTGGACAACGCAACGTTAAAATCGCCAGTTACTTTGAGACCCAAAGGTCGAAGTCAATATTGTATAATAGAGTGGCTGTCCCAACCTTCAAATTAGTGGCTCCTACCTGCCCAAACTCATAATACAAGCAGTAAAATCCCAATTTTTCTGATATATTTGGGCTACTAAAACTAATCATGCCACTGAATCACGAACAAGTTTATATTATTCCATTTCACTAAACGCAATCCATACATTATAAGTTAGGTTGGTTTTCGTTATCGTGTTGTTTTGTTGTATAGTTGTAACGACCTTTGTATACAAATTCATCATATTTGTTGAGTCATGCGCTACCTGGCTTGTGTTGCAAGCCAGTTTTAAGCTATTGCATAGCTTTTATCGCGGGTTTTGAGCGCGGCGACCGAATCAAGAAATTTCGTAACAAAAATAAAACCTAACATCGCACTCCGCCTACTATGTAGCTCCCGTTCAATACATTCACACGTTGCGCTTGTGTAGTTTTTATGAATAAGCGCGCGGCGTGACGTCGCACTGCATGCGTATCATGAAAAGTCTGCTCATCTCTCTCTCGCGCGGTCTAGCTTATGAGTGTGAAGGGGACAGTTAATGTTTTGATTTTGTTAATGTTTATAAATATACCGTGGTCTTATTTAATATTGTTTTAATATTAAATTATTATTGTCTAATTATAATTGCATAAGTTGATAAAAAAATGTTATGCAATAGCTTTATCGCGGCAGTCCCCGAGTGCCTGCCACACGTGTTTTTTTTTACTTGTTGTTATGTTTTTTTGTATCTTTTTAGCTAAATAAATAAATAACTTTGTAAATCTCCAGGACAAGAACGACAATTCGCCCATATTCACGTCAGTGGTCCGGCCCGTCACTGTGGAGGACTCGTCGTCTATAGGGAGTCTCGTGCAGACGGTCGTCGCCAGTGACGCAGACGCGACGTCACCGAACAACAGAGTCCGGTACAAACTAGTGGGTAGGGGTAAAGCCTCTAAATACTTTCACGTCGAACCCGACACCGGTGCGTTGAGGGTTCGCGATGATCTGAAGAAGGAAACGGATAGCGAGTATACGGTAAGATTCGTACTGATTTGTTGTCATGAGTCCTCGTGTCTCCTTACGAGGGACCCCCCTCTGCCTGGCCTTGAGGCAGGGGTGATGAGCTTTTTTTTTATTGCTGCTTAGATTGGTGGACGAGCTCACAGTCCACCTAGTATTAAGTGGTTACTGGAGCCCATAGACATCTACAATATCTAGGAGGGGTGGTGGTGCCTACCTGTGCGGTCTCACAAGAGGTTTGCTAGCATGAATCTCATATACGTGCTGGTTTGAGTTCATATTGGATGGAATTTTCTTCTTTCTTCGTTTTTCTTTTGGAAGACCGAATGGTTAGGCCACAGACAGAAACGTGAACACATCCGCCCACCTTTCTCTACCACCCCATCTTTCATACCGTAATGCATTACTGCAGTAATAGACGAACTTCTAGTACCTAAGAGCTAAGTGTAAATTACTAAAACCAAATTCGTGTGCATTACAGGTGGACGTACAAGCTTACGACCAAGGCGATCCGGTCATGTCATCGGTGACCAGTCTAACGGTGTACGTGAGCCATTCGGCAACCGTTCCACCTGACGTAAGCGCTCAGTTTTTTACACATTTAGCAGCAGTAGTAGTAGTAGTAGTAGTAGAATAGTAGAGATAAAAAAACACTAATACAACTAAAAATATACTTCTTGAAAACTCGTCTTTAATTCGTTGATACTAAGGTTTTTTTTAATAAAGATTCTTTGATGTAAGTACACGCGCTCTAAATGTACTAAGAATGAGAGCAGAGAGGTAGGTAAACAGGGAAATATCAATAGATAGAAGTTTATGAGCTCACGGCCCCTAGTATTGATTACCGAAGCCCATAGATAACATAACGTGGACACTACTTGAAGCTGAATGTTTGGATTTAGGAACGTTTGACTGCTTCTCTATAGAAATAGGCAGGATGGAAACAGACCACATGCTGTTTTGAAATAGGCAGGATGGAAAGAGCCAACAAGCTCTTTAGAAATAGGCAGGATGCAAAGTGACAACAAGCTCTTTAGAAATAGGCAGGACGGAAAGAGCCAAAAAGTTCTTTAGAAATAAGCAGGATAGAAAGTGACAACAAGCTCTTTAGAAATAGGCAGGATGGAAAGAACCAACAAGCTCTTTAGAAATAGGCAGGATGGAAAGAACCAACAAGCTCTTTAGAAATAGGCAGGATGGAAAGTGACAAAAAGCTCTTTAGAAATAGACAGGACGGAAAGTGACAACAAGCTCTTTAGAAATAGGCAGGATGGAAAGTTCTTTTGACGTTCAACAAGTATGTACTTTCATTTATGTTGAATAAAATTTATTTGATTTGAAAGTGACAACAAGCTCTTTAGAAATAAGCAGGATGGAAAGTGACAATAGGCTCTTTAGAAATAAGCAGGATGGAAAGTGACAATAGGCTCTTTAGAAATAAGCAGGATGGAAAGTGACAACAAGCTCTTTAGAAATGGGCAGGATGGAAAGAGACAACAAGCTCTTTAGAAATAGGCAGGATGGAAAGTGACAACAGGCTCTTGTTTGACTGACTCGGTGGTGGAAAAATTAGCGCCCCAGACAGTTGCGCCGAGGGTCGTGGGTTTGATTCCCACATCGAACAAACATTTGTGTGATGAACAATTTTTTATGCTCATTTTCTGAGTGTTTATTAAACAAGTTTGTGTGTCAGTCTCTGGTATCTATAACACAGGAAATCCTAATTTGGGGCCAGATGACCGTGCGTGATTTATTCCCAGTTATTTAATTTATATCCCCCAATTCACTAAAAACCGGTACGTAATTTTAAATCTAAATTAAATTTTAATTTTTTTAATGAAGCTATTTCTTCATTTCTAAATTAATTCAATATTTTTTTCTTCGTCCATCAGGTCGGCTTAGGTTTCGCTGATACAGTGTATACTGAACACGTTGCCGAGAACTCGCCCAACGGTACCCTAGTTAGGGTGTTGCCATTACTCAATAAAAGGGAACATTCCCCAGACACGCCTCTAAAATGCTTACTCACAGAATCTTCGCAAAAAGGTAAGATTACGTTAATTATTCTATAGGTTATATGGTTATTGATATTATGAAATACATAGTTAAATAATCAATAGAAAAATGGCCAAGATTACCCTATTTTCGTTTTGAGTGGAATCCCTTTAAACCAGGGATGAGTGACCTTTTTAATCAATGGGCCCATTTTAATTTTAAATTTTTTTGGCGGGCCGCCCTTTTTATCTCTTATTAATAATTTACGAAACATAATTTTTTTAATAAAAACAATTAAGAAAACAACAGAAAAACGATTTGATGGGAGAAGGTCGATAAAATAAATTTCAATTATAGAAATGATTGGCGGGCCGCGTGTTGCTCATCCTTACTTTAAACAAAACCTTTTTTTTTCATTTTGTAGTTGGGTGGACGAGCTCACAGCTCAACTGGTGTTAAGTGGTTACCGAAGCGCATAGACATCTACAAGGTAAATGCCGCCACCCACCTTGAGATATGAGTTCCAAGGTCTCAGTATAGTTACGGCTGCCCTACCATTCAAACCGAAACGCATTACTGCTTCACGGCAGAAATAGGCAGGGTGGTGGTACCTACCCGTGCAGACTCACAAGAGGTCCTACCACCAGTAACTACGCAAATTATAATTTTGCGGGTTTTATTTTTATTACACGATGTTATTCCTTCACCGTGGAAGTTAATTGTGAGCATTTGTTGAGTACCTATTTCATTAGAAAAATTGGTACCCGCCTGCGGGATTCGAACACCGTTGCATCGCTACATACGAATGCACCGGATGTCTTATCCTTTAGGCCACGACGACTTCTAATAAATATACTAACCGATTTATTAAGGAATATTCTACGTGAAGCTGACGGAAGACCGCGACTGCGCGATATACCTTAACACGAGTTCGCTAGACTACGAGACACTATCGGAGTATTCTCTGGAAGTGCAACTGGAGTCCATACAGGGTCTGATCAACCCCGACAGTAGTAGAGCGCTCGTCAAAGTTCACGTGACCGACGTCAATGACAACCACCCCGTGTTTGTGTTCAACGAACAGTCCACTGTGGCCGCCGCGAAAGGGAAATACTTCGCTATTGTCAATAAAGAGATGCTTCTAGGCACCAACGTTCTTCAAGTAAAGGTGAGATGAAATTTAAAAAAAATAAAAAAAAAAATTGTTAATAATTTTATCTTATTATTTATTTAGTTTAATTTAAATTTAATTAAAATTAATTTTATGTAAATTAAAAAAAAAAAGATATTCTACTCCATTTAAATTTAATTATTCAATTAATTATTAAATGATTTAATTAATTAAGCTTTCAATAGTTGAACTAATAAAAACACACGGTTTTTTTAATAGATCCTTCTCGTTGATTAAATATAAAAATACTTTTATATACTAAACATATTTTTACATAGACTAACACGAGTCATTTTTGAATGTGCAGACTATGAGAAAAGCTATTAGATGCCTATCATATACTCCTGGTAACAAAGAAGTAATGCGTGCTGATTTATAATTACTCACTTAAAGTGCTATACGTGAGATAAATTTCAATCTTTTGTCGTACATTTAAAGTTCATTTTGGTAAAGCATCGAACGTAAATACTATACACAAACAATATTTGTCGTGTAAAACAACTCTTTATTTACTCGACAATAAATGAGTCGTCTATTATCAAAGGTGGCAATCTGTACATTTGGACAAAAAAAATTTATTGATATGTCAATACAGATTTATTTGAATATAATCGTCTCCTTCAAAGAATACGGTTCAAAACCTGCATTAAATAAAGGTTAATAGTTAACCTGTTATTTATCTAAGATGTCGTTCCGAAGAGTTTTGTGACTGCCAATGGAATACAAAGTCAATAATTCGTTTTTCTGATTTACCAATCATTGTCCAAAAGTCAGATTGCCGCCTTTGATAATAGTCGACTCAAATATCGATTTATTCAGGCGAAAGATCGGGACAGCGGCGCTTACGGCAAGTTAGAATACCACAAGAACTCGTGGACCGAAGCGGCCGAAGAGTACTTCGGTCTGGACGCGGACACGGGGATCATAAGCAATATAAAATCGTTCGAGAACGTTCCAAAGGACATTCTGCCGTTCAAGTTCAGCGTGACCGCGAGAGACAACCCTGATTCGCCACAGGACTATAATATAGCCAGAGCGTCGGTTGTGGTAAGTTTTAGATTCATTTTTATTTCATAGACGGGCTTCACGGTGTAAAGTGATCATAGGATCTTTTTTTTTAATGCTTAGATGACGAGGACGAGCTCACAGCCCACCTGTTGTTAAGTGGTTACTGGAGCTCATAGACATCTACAACGTAAATGCGCCACCCACCTTGAGATATAAGTTCTAAGGTCTCAAGTATAGTTACCTAGTTCATAGGATCTCACAGATATTAACGCGTAAATGCCGCCATCTTGACGCTTGAGCTCTAAGTCTCAATTCTACAGTAGTGACTAAGGTAATGATACCTATAAGTGCGGTTTGAAAATTCTATTCAGTTAAGATAAGATGAAACGTTAATACACAATAGTTCTTCATCAGGAACAATGTAAAGCATTCGAAAAAAAAATCTTCGGCTATTTAAGTGGAATAACCTTAATTTTAGTTCAATTAAAAACATCGAATTGTTAAAATGCTAATATCAAATAAGATAAGTGTCGCGTTTTTTAGCGAAATGTCACTAAAACCAACTCCCTCGATGTATAATAATAATAATAAATGTGTGATTAAACCGTAAAATTAGTTATTTTCATGTCTGTGACTAGCGAAAACCGAATAAAAAATACCATAGTAATGTAATTCTGTCAATAATTCACGTAAAATCCTTCACGTGAGGTGACCTTCACTCATTTCTATCTCTATCTCTACCTATCTCTATCTATCTATCTTTATCTATCTAACTATTCCTAGAGATCCTATCCTAGAGATCATATCTATCTATTCCTAGGCCTCTATTTACCTATCTTTAAACAAAAACAATATCATTTTTCATCATTATCCTGTCCTTCCCCCAGGCACCTGGGGTCGGCGCAACATGTTTTCTCCTTCCATACTCCTCTATCATATACTATTTCTTCGCTCACTCCCCTTTTACCCATATCGTCTTTCACGCAATCCATTCATTTCTTCTTAGGTCTACCTCTTCCTCTATATCCTTCCACATTCATAGTTAACACTCTCTTACCGACCTCATTTTCATTTCGGCTCATCACATGTCCATACCATCCCAAACGCGCACTTCTCAGCTTCTCTGTCACAGGTGCCACTTTCAGACTTCCTCTAACATATTCATTCTATATTTTATCCATTCTCGTTACTCCACACATCCATCGCAACATTCGCATCTCTGCTGCATGCAAACAAAAACAATATAATGATATATATATATATAATATATAATAATATATTGCAGATAAACTTATTACAAAAAGAGAATCAGCTGGTATTGGAAATAGCGGATTTGAATCCGGATGCGATGCGCCGCAGAGCCAGAAGTCTTCTATCGATCATAGAAGAGAAGAGCGGTTTGGTCGCCGGCCTAGAAAAGCTAACGTCGAGACATTATCTAGGAGAGAATGGTACATTGGAGAGCGACAGCCGTGGGACCGACGTTTGGCTCTACCTAATCGAACCTAGTACTGGCGAAATATTGACTAGAGAATCTATGCCTGTGCAGAAGTGAGTAGACAATTATTGACATTTTTTTTTTTATTTTTTTTTTTATTGCCTTTGTAGGCAGACGGGCATACGGCCCACCTGATGGTGAGTGGTTACCGTCGCCCATGGACTTCAGCAATGCCAGGGGCAGAGCCAAGCCGCTGCCTACAAAGGCAATAAAATTACCTATTATATTTATATGTATATAAATCTCTCTATCTCATATATTCCTAGTACATTTATATAATACTAGTGGTTCCCCAGTAGTCGAAATAGTGGTGTAAATTAATTTTTATGCTCATGACTTGGGAAACCTTAGAGAATATGATATTCTTATTATTATTTATTACTAGACGATGACCGAGTTTTTTTTTTTTTGATAAATTGCGTTTTTTAGAAATTATATTTAAATACGAATTACATATTGATAAAATGATGAAATATTGCAAGATAGTTTAGGCATTTTTAAGTGAACACGTGAGTTAAAAAGACACAAATAATATAAATAAACAATTCATTTTCTTGGTCTAACCTTAAACCAAACACTCATTTGCTTCAAGTGGCTTAACAACGCTATCTGCTGAAATAGCTTTAGTGTTATTGTGTCTTTAAAGCAGTTAGTTGCTCTCAATTATGAAAAATAGTATTATTATTCGCCAATAGATGTCGGGAAGAGTCATAAAGTTGATTATCGATAAAGTTGATTATTGAAAACACAAATAAAACAATATTTTCTGAAAATAAATCGTAACTAGATCGATTTATCGCCCCCGAAATCCTCTGTATACAAAATTTTATAAAAATTGTTGGAGCCGTTTCCGAGATTTAGATTATATTTATATATATACAAGAGTTGCTCTTTTAAAGGTATAAGATTCTTATTATGATATTCTTATTATACTCAACTTAGTATTGTTTCCTCTGCATTATTCGTGGTTCATACATATGTAACTTCATGAAATACACCGAACAAACAATCGTAGGTATTTCATTAGAAAAATCGGTATCCGCCTGCGGGATTCGAACACCGGTGCGTCGCTCAATACGAATGCACCGGACTTCTTAACCTTTAGGCCACGACGACTTCAAATACTATTTTTTAGAAGCGTTGTGATTTCAAACTCGATGAAACGAAAAAATAAGTCCATAGAGACACACATAAATGTATAGGATTCAGCCGGCGAGAGAATGAGATAGAACACATTAGACGTTCTCGGTCTCCTCTTTGTGCGACTCTTCGTAGCATCCCCACTATCGTCTACTAAACATTGTCCATATGTATGCTCCTGTGTAGTGGGACGGTCAGTATATCTATATCTTATTTATAAGTTTCACTTCTTCCGTGTCTGACTTGCTTGCACACACATTTTTTTTTTTATCTTCATAGGGCCATAGAGACTGGGGTCCACAAAGCGGTGGCTGCTCGGCTTCAGTCTCCAGTCAGTGAAGTCCGAGCTCCTTTAGTAGCGGCCGAATTGCCGAAGAAGCCTCACATAGCAGCCGCGCCGCTCGCCACCGCCCTACCCGCCGCCCTGATAGGCCTGGCCGCCGTCGTACTGGTCGCCGCACTGGTCGCCACCATCTACATCTGCGCCTCATGGAACAGGTAAATGTTTGCATTACTTTAAGTTCAACTGAAGATCAAGACTAGACTGTCCACGCTCTGCCTTCGCCGCGCACTCGAGTACTTCGGTCATATTGCTGGGAAAACACCGGATAGCTTAGAGAGACTATTCGTGACAGGGAAGATCGAGGGAAAGAGACCCCGCGGGCGCAGTCCGACAAGGTGGTTCGACCAAATCCGCACCACACTAGGGATCCCATTCCACGACGCCCTTCATGCGGCCAATGATCGGAGACGCTGGCGGGACATTAAAAGGAGCAAAATCCTGTCGACATATAATGGTCACGACCCTCAGCAGTGAGGAAATGACGCGAGGAGGAGGGAAGAGGAGGAGGGAGAAGTTCCCAAGGAGAGGAGTTTTCACGATCGGTCTTGGGCTACGCGCAGCCCGCTGAGTTTCTCGCCGGATCTTCTCAGCGGGTCGCGTTTCCGATCCGGTGGTAGATTCCGCGAAGCACTGCTCTTGCTAGGGCCAGTGTTAGCAACGCTCCCGGTTTGAGCCCCGTGAGCTCACCTACTCGCCCGGTTACGCTGACATAGCCTCTCAAGGCTATCAGCTCAGGTAGGGGAAAAAAGGGCTACGCGCTTTATTTTGACAATAGTAGCAGTTGCTTTTGATGACGCTTAGAATTACGGCGTTAGTGATTTTGATGGTTGAGTCCGCTGAAAAATCTAATAATCACTATATGCTAATAATTACGGTACTTAAAAACAAGAGAATATTGTACACTCCTTAGTTTTAAGGTTCCAATTATTTTGATCAATATATGTACATCTTTATATTGTTTTAATCGAGCTCTTGCATTAGACGCCTTCAGTTCTAACATTAGGAGAAGGATTAGGGACCCCGCTAACCGTGCAACCTGACCTAAACATCAGCCCGCTGAGTTTCTCGCCGGATCTTCTCAGCGGGCCGCGATTTCAATGCGGTAGTAGATGAATTGGCGAAACATCTGCCCTTGAGTTGTTAGATCTCCTCCGGAGACGCATGGGCGGTTGTTAGCAAATTCCATCCCTTCTGGCTAAGGCTGTGCTCGCCAAACTTTGCTAGTGACACTAGAAAGGCCTCTAAGCCAGTAAACCCTCCTTTATAAAAAAATACTGTTAAGCCGTGTTTAGGGTTCGCAAAGCTCAAATAAAATACTACAATTATCAAACACTCGAGTGTAGTTTGAAAATTTGCCTTGAAAATGTCGTTTCTGCGATCCAAATTTTTGTCAGATACCTTCTATTCCATAATAGCTATAACGTACAAAATATTATTAAATCATATATCAATTGTTATTACTCCATTTCTAAGGTATAAGAAACACAAAGAGCAAGCGGTGCAACAGTACGGAACTCTGAGTATGAGCATGCCGCCACCTCGTCCCCCGTCTGGCTACGAGTCCAGTGAAGATGACCCCGCACCGAGATATGAAACACAGGTACTACAAGTTTCAAGTTCTCCTGGATATACCAACATTTACCGATACCCATACAAAATGATCTCTATTTAAATACTAGCTGACGCGGCAGACTTCGTAGTGCCTCAATCGATAAATAAAAGACCTAAACTTGTGTATAAAATAAACTCAAAACAAACAAAATGAATCCGTCCGACGGGGGACACGTCAAAGGAAAAACAAAATTGTTATTTTTATTTAATTCCGAACATTTTCATTCATTTATCTACCTTTAAAACCTTCTCTGGACTTCCACAAATAATTCGAGATCAAAGTTAGCCAAATCGGTCCAGCCGAGTTTTAGCGAGACTAACGAACAGCAATTCATTTTTATATATATAGATTACTTTGGTCTATCAACCTCCATTCGGAGGATAAGTGGAAGATGAGAAGGAGCCATTTTGGAGACATGTGTATGACATTAAATTGTGTAACATTCACTATCGCTTATCGACAATGTCAGTGCCAGAAACAGATAGTGCGCTAGCAAGGCTTTTTTCAATCCTCTTTTAGAATCCCTTGAAGGTTCAACTTAATCTAAAAAACATAGTCAATACTTTTGTTTTACACAGAATGAATTTTGATGATCTAGTTAAATTTACTGAAGGATACGATAAAGATTAAAAAAAAATGTTACTGATATTAGGGTATGTTGCAATTGAAGAATGAGTGGATGAAGGGAAGATATGATACAGTTTGTTAATTTTGTACTTTTTCTTCGTTAATAACTACTTCATCACATACAAATTTCTAAAGAGTTTTAGGTCTAATATTGTTTATAGTCACATAACGTACTGACTGAAGGTCAATGTAAAAACTCAAAAATCTTAAAAATGGTACTTAACCCCTTCATCCACTCAAGTCTTCAATTATTTTTAGCTGATGCTAATGTCCTCCAGATAATAGTGTCGGTGAAAAAATCTTCGTTTTAAAGTAGCTCTTAGGTTTATTTGCTTTAGTCATATTTTAGATTGTGTTATTTGTATTTTAATAGAATTTCGCATCTCTAACAGGTACTCAATATGGCGGTCGATGACGCGGATCTGCAATTAGACTTCAGTCCAAACAATCACGCGTTCAATATACACAACGTTCAATATTTATCCAAAGATAATGGTGAGTTTATTCGACCTTTGTAAAACTCAAGTAAATGGAAAATGACGTTACAATTTAAGATTCTTAAAATAGGTAATTCACATCTCACACTGTTATAAAATATAATAAATATACACATATTTTACATACGATGCAACTTGATATTACAGTCTCTTAATTACAATAAGTATGACATCGTGAGCGACTTCGTCTACCTAGGGTCTAACATTAATAACACGGGATCATGCGAAAAAGAGATAAGGAGACGTATAGGGATGGCCAAAAATGCAATGTCCCAGCTGCATAAGATATGGAGAGACCGTAACATCACGCGAAAAACTAAAACCAAATTGGTGAGTTCGCTAGTTTTCTCCATATTCAGTTATGGCGCGGAGACCTGGACAATGAAGAAGGCCGACAGAGACCGAATAGACGCTTTTGAAATGTGGTGTTGGAGAAAAATGCTACAGATTCCATGGACCGCCTTTCGCACCAACGTGTCTATTCTGAGAGAGCTTCATATCAAAGCCAGACTGTCCACTATATGCCTTCGTAGGGTGCTGGAATTCTTCGGACATATTGCTCGTAAAGAGGGTCACAATCTGGAACAGCTGATGGTGACAGGAAGGGTAGATGGCAAACGTCCCAGAGGACGCAGTCCCACGAGATGGTCGGACCAAGTACGATCTTCTCTGAGCATCAATTTCCATAATGCCCTTCATGAAGCAAAGGATCGCGGCAGATGGAGGGAAGTCGTATGGGAGAAACTGATGCAGCGGGGGAGTCTCGACCCTCAGTAATGAGGAAAACGACGCGAGGAGGAGGAATTACAATAAGGATATCTTACTTATTTATTTTTACTTTAATATTGACTTAATAATTAGAAACGGGATTTTTAAAAAAACTCGCCAATGAAACTTATTTGAAGATTTCGAAATATTTTTTTTTATTTAAAATACAATATTATTGGTTTTTCTTTTCTATAAATATTTTCTTAAATAATTCTTATAAGATTCCAAAGTACCCACTAATCCTGACAAAAGAGACTTGGAATAAGTAAATCTGAATTTATGCTTCACATTGTAACATTTACGAAATTTGAAGTCCTGTCCCAGTACCTAAGTGCAAACTGAATATAGATTATCTAAAAAAAATACTGTACTATTTTATTATATTGTTTTATTTTTTTAAATATAAGAACACTTATTGCGGCGTAACTATAATAGTTAGACATATGCTGTCGTTGAACTTTTTATAAATAATAATTTGTTCTACAAAGTTGTTGTAAATTATTTTATTCTATCATCAATAGTTTTCGCAGGGCACGCGATGTAAAGAATATTTTAGGTAATAATTGTTTTACACCTTGGGTTACATTATTGTAGTTTTAGTAAGGATTCCTAATTTTTTCAAAAGAGATTTATAGCCTATGTCACTCGGGAATAGTGTAGCTTCCAAACAGTGAAAGAATTTTTCAAATCGGTTCAGAAGTTTCGGAGCCTATTCAATACAAACAAACAAACAAGTATTTCCTCTTTATAATACTAATAATAGTATAGATTGTACGATATAACTTATCCACCTCAGGCGAAAGAAGTCCAACGTTATCGGAAACAGCGACGACAGCTCGAGCCTCGAGCGTCAATGAAAACGGGGGTACTCTGAACAAACTCCACAACAGCCACTACGATCCTATCGCGAACAACGCGTCCATTGCGCGCAACACACAGACGTTGAACCGAAGGATGCCGAATTCGCAAGCGTTGAACAACGCTCTCGGGACGTTGCCCCGTGCCAACAATAACAATGTCGGTGGTGGATTATTAGCCGCCACATTAGGTAGGAAGATCAACGGGAATAATCACAAGAAGAAAACTCAACCCATAATGGCGTACGACGATATACCCGGAATGCAGAAGTACGTATAAATTTATTTTCATTTCATTACATCTTTATCTCAGTCATAAAAATTAATAAATAACTAGTGGTCTCGCGGTAATCGAATTTCGACTATAATCATTGCATTTATAAGTTTGATCATTATTAAGATTTTATTCACCACTATTCACCAAGACCACAGTATAGACAAATATTAATAAAGGCCAACAATATTAATCTATTCTCAATTCGCGCAATTTTCTTCAAAAGCAGGGTACAAAATTTTTGCTTCACGTATTAATATATTATTATATATTTATAGCAGGCATAGGAACTAAATAAAACGTAACTTTGTCATTACTTAGACATGTCAAAACTGTCAAGTGTCAGCACAGTAACTCCGCCCTGGTGGCAAAAATCGTGAAGTTTGAAATGTCACCTCGTTTGACATATTACATATTACATTGACATTGACATTGATCTCTGATCACGCGATAAATGGTTACCGTATCAGGCACAGCCGCCTACTCTTCGAAGAGAGTTCTGAAATGCGAGATCACTAACTTTTTTTTTTTTCTAGAGCCTCTGACAACGACAACGTGACATTTGGCAAAAGAAACTTCTCTGGGTACCCATACGATCAATCGACTGTCGAAACTACGACAGAGTTATAGTGAGAAGTCTGTGAAACAATAAAATAATTATATGGAACATTGTAAGATGAATATCCGTCCAATCAGTGGGTGAAGTGCTGTTTTAATATAAGCGAAATCTTAAAGTATTGCTCTACCATAATATTCCTTCTATTTTGTGATCGTTTTAAATGACTACTCTTATTTTATAAATCTAATTAAATTATCTTCTAAAAATAAATATACATTGTATAATCTTTTCAGTTATATATGATTTATTTATATTTATCTATTTGTACTATAGTTTAGGGGTACAAAAATACTACATTTTTGTGGTAGGGTAACGTTAATTTCTTTCCGGTTGTTTGTTATTAATTTCGTAAAATATTTCACATAAAAAAAATTGTACATAGGTTTTGTAATAAGCGAACTGAGAGATATGACTTTATCATAAATGAACTCCCATTTCCATAAAAATATTTTTTTTTTATATTCAACCTCTTTTTAATTAGCTCGAGCGATTCTTCATATAATTTTCTTCTTTTAATTTATTAATTTACGTATTCAAAAAATGTATATGTTTAACAAAACTTTTGTAAAAAAAGTTTGCATTTAAATTTATTTACTCTGTTTTATGATTTCGTTTTTAATAAAACTCGTAAAATTAGTATAATGATGATGAGATGTGTTCAACGAATATAATAATTATTATACGACTGAAAAATGCTTCAAACTTAATATTATTATAATAATTTTTATAACGAATTTCTTAGCGGTACTTACTTAGCCAAGGCTAGTCTTTTAAATGAGAACAAATTGCGCGTAATGTTTTTTTTTTTTTATAAATATTATCTTGTAAATAATTGTGGCATTAGAAAGTGTATAGATAATGTTAATATATGAATAGTAACGTGTATAATGTCAGATAAATATTTTTGATGGGGGGAACTTAACAGTGCAAAGGAATTGCTTCCAAAAACAATTGGAAGTGATTTTTATTCCTCAAATGGTCAGATATCACTAGCTGAGAGGTTGAGTGATTTAGTTTACAGATAAAAAAAATTATATCTATTTTAGACCTACTGAGTGTGAACTAATTGAAAGCGATATATGTTTGTGTTATGTGTAGCAAATTAATATTGTTTTGCCCTTAAAAGCGGTTCGTTTACTTGAATATGGTTATGAATAAGGATTCCCAAGGAGAATGTAAGTTTGTTTTCTTTTTTTTTTTTTGGAAATATCTCGCCATTCCAATGATTTTTATTTTTAAAAATACTCGTTTTTTGGTCTAATCATCTACAGACAGCTTCTTTTTCTTAGAGTCGACCTTTAGATTACAATGTTTCAGCTAAATTGTATGAAGATCACATAAAAAAAAATGTTGCGTAAATATTTATGTGCGATTTTAATAATTTTTTTCAAAAGCTTACATCATTGATCATGATTGACTTTATGTCACTAATGTCACTAAAGGCAACAGATCGACGTGGCACTAAAGTTTTTCGCTAGTCGTGACCGTAATTTTATTTTATTCTATTTTCCGGTTTGAAAAAAAACGACGTTTTTTTAAAATCGATCTACTGGCTCTGGCCAGTGCTCACAGCTTGTATCATAGTGAAATTGTCAATAGTTTTGCAAAGTTTTAATTCGAACCGCTTACTTGCCAGGATAAACTAAGAAAAATCATAAAAAAACACTGTAACCTAAAACGAATGTAATATGAGCACTTTTTAAATGACGATGAACATGTCTTGAAAATGTTATACGCAAAAATTAACAATCGAAATTATCACAATATTTCAATATTAATATTTAATAAAGAAATAGAAAAATGAAATAGAAAAAAGAAAAAAAAAACAGCTCCCTGTGTTCTGGACATGGCTTCCAAATTGCCATGTAAATTTACATATCTTGTTCAAAAAGTGTCTGACTTCGTCAATAGATCGAATAAAATCGTAAACTCTCTCGTGGTTTTGCTGTAAATGAGTAAAAACCTCGAAAAGGATTTCAAAGTATTAATTGCCTTTGAAAAAAATATTTTACTTGTATGCCATTTACAAGGTGTCACTATCTACGTTACCAAATACTTTTAAAGTGTTTGTATTAAAGTAATGTACACTAAGCTTATATTTAAAGATACGAATATTTTTATAGCGTTTTTTTATGGGATAGTCACCGTGGTAAGGTTTTTATTATTTAAACCAACGCTGATATTCAAGCATAAATAATACATTTATTATAATAGTTTCCATATGAATAATGTGCCAGTTATTATTAAATTTTAATACTATGTAAATTAATTCAGAAAGAATGTAGAATTTGGCGTGGCGATGTCTGAGTATGAATTATTTAAAATACTCATTTCTTTGATCTAAAGAATGAAAGAAGTAAATAAAAATGATCAAAAAAGTGTATTTGATTCCATTTACTAGCTAATGCTGCTTACTTACTTAATAGTATACTAAAGAAATGCTCATTTTGTATTTTAAAAGGTTATTCGTGCCAAACAAATGAAGTGGGTAACGAAATTATCTAAAAATCTTATTGGTTCATTAAACGTTACCTATTGTAATTTTGTATGATAGATTGTAAAATATATTTTTATAATATAAATGTTTTTCATGAAAATGTAATATATAATAAATAAAAAAGAAATTGTTATTGTAATTTTTTGAAGTAAATACATTTTATTATCAATTTGGCAGTTTTATTTTTTCGTATTACCGTTAACTACGATAGCATAATAAAATTGCGTGGTTGTAATTGGAAAAGTTGAAGATATTCAAATCCGACTGGTAAACGTTTGTTTAAAGTAACCCGAAAACCGTAAGACTAAATAAATACAATTATTATTTAGTAGCGTAGATTCCATGATCAATAGTATTTGGGTAATATTGGAATTGGCTACTATAAGCATCGTAAAATAGGCACCGCCTAGTTAAAACACGAGGTCTAAGTTTATATTGCAATATAATACACGAATTTACCAAAATAAAACTAGAATATCATCAATGGCGTCCAAGTCAATTCAATATGCATTATTGAGGAAAACTCAAAAAATATTGGTCAGGTCTTGACAATATTAATAACAGCCAGATTTTAATTGAAAGAAATCGATTCACCTAGAAAAAAGTTCTGATGGCAATACACAAAAAAATAGACAAACTGATATAACCTTCTCCTGTTTTTTTAAGTCGGCTTAAAATATCGAATCCTGTTAGCGAAAGGCTCACGATATGTTTTTCCACCATTCAAGACAGGAATTTGGTGATATGTTTTCAGGAAAAGGCGGTTTTTTTGACTATACTAAAGGACCAGACTAGTTCACACCGTTATCGAAGCAATATCACAATGTGGATGATATCACGCATCCTGCACATGAGCTTCATTGTCACAGTTGCTGTACACAAATTTTCCGTCCCTCACCAGAGCCCATAGACAAAGTAAATGCCGCTACCGGAATGACACTTTACGAAATTTGCTTAAGACCCGTCATGACATACGCGAGTGTGGTGTTCGCTCACGCGGCCCGCACACGTGTAGACACCCTCCAATCCCTAAAATCCCGCTTTTGCAGGTTAGCCGTCGGAGCTCCGTGGTTCGTGAGGATCGTCGACCTACATGACAATCTGCCAGCGTCGGAACGGTACTACGGTACGGACTCGTTGGCCGAAAATGGTAAAAAGGCCACGCCCGAACATGGTAAAGACGCAGGATAGCTGTGCGAGCTCACAACCAGTTGTTACGCGAAATTTTTTTGCGGGTTAGCTTTTTATTACACGATGCTATCCCTTCATCTCGGAATTAATACTTCGCAATTTCATATATTGTAAACCCTGTCCATATATCTATACATCAGTGTGGTGAATCTATAAGTTTACAACACTTTACTATCAGTATGTTTTAAAATTTAATGGTTCTGATTTTATTACGTAATTTTTATTCCTTTATCGTGCAAATCGGTCGTGATGTGTATATATTATTTTATAATTTCTAGGTACTAAACCTATAAAATTAGTTAAATTTTGACTTATAATACTGGTGAATTCTGAAATTTCGACCACGCCAATTCATAATGTTCGCGTTTTAGTATTTAGTATTAGCATTGTTCTGTGAGGATACAGAAAACATATGAATATTTAATGAAGAGCAAGAGGTAATAAAAGGGCATAATTTTGTTTAAAATATTGCCGATGTATAATTTTCAAGATAATATTATTATAATATTATTATGTACTTGAAGTCGTCGTGGCCTAAAGGATAAGACGTCCGGTGCATTCGTATGTAGCGATGCAACGGTGTTCGAATCCCGCAAGTGGGTTACCAATTTTTCCAATGAAATACGTACTTTACAAATGTTCACGATTGACTTCCACGATGAAGGAATAACACCGTGTAATCAAAATCAAACCCGCAAAATTATAATTTGCGTAATTACTGGTGGTAGGACCTCTTGTGAGTCCGCGCGGGTAGGTACCACCACCCCGCCTATTTCTGTCGTGAAGCAGTAATGCGCTTCGGTTTGAAGGGCGGGGCAGCCGTTGTAACTACCTATATACTGAGACCTTAGAACTTATATCTCAAGGTGGGTGGCGCATTTACGGTGTAGATGTCTATGGGCTCCAGTAACCACTTAACACCAGGTGGGCTGTGAGACTTCCACCCATCTAAGCGATAAAAAAAAATTAAAAAAATACTGTCGTGCCTTATTTTTTTTGTAACACAAATATTGTACATTTTAGGTGATCTGGAACTGCTAAATTAAAAAGCGCAATAAGACTTTTACAAATGAGAAACGCTTTTAAAACTTTAATTGTTACAAACATAATACGATTAATTAACTTTCAATAAAACATTGTGTACTTGCTTGTCACGTTTTTTATTTTATTACTTAAAAGAGTCGGCATTAAATGCTATCCGATAATAAAATAATAGTATAAAAGATCGGGTTTGAAAATGTCGGAGTTAGTAAGGCCACGATGTTGGTCTTATTTGTTGGATTGTTGATGTTAATCAGCTCGTCTACTGCTACCACGGTACCGAGAGGTGAGTTTGAATATCTTGAATGCGATTTTCATTTCTTTTCCACGTTCTGCTTTAAGGTAATAAGTTTTTTTTTAAATATCAAATACCGTTTACCGTTCAATCTTTCGTTTTTTTTGTTGCATTATTTCTGACGTTTTGAATACTTTACAGTTTTAAATATCAACAAAAAGTATACATATGTTTGAAAAAATAAAATTTTAATTTTAGTAAAATTTTCAATAATATTTTAATTTTAAATTTGTGATAGGACCTCTTGGGAGTCCGCACGGGTAGGTACCACCACCCCGCCTATTTCCGCCGTGAAGCAGTAATGCGTTTCGGTTCGAAGGGTGGGGTAGCCGTTCTAACTATACTGAGACCTTAGAACTTATATCTCGAGGTGGGTGGCGCGTTTACGTTG